CATTTTGTGCGTGCATTCTAAAAGCTGATAATTATATAAAAATATTTCTTGCCAGATTTTAAAATTCCATTGATAGAATATAATTTAATTCTGATTGACTTTGCAGTATGTAATTCAAAGAAAATTTCATTCTTCCTTACTCAATAAACCTGATTCCTTATTTTTAAACCACACAACCATTCACACACCACAACTACACTTTTTCAGTTACATCTGGATTGTATCCACATCACCTCAATATAAATAAATGAAAAATCATTAACTTTCAGGATTTCCAAGAATATAACATAAAAACCTTGTTCTGAAGTACTGGATGTTCAAACAAATAATTAGAACGTTCAAAGACAGAAGGTTGCCTCATACACATTACCATTTAATTAGTTAAGAAAAGAAAAAAATTAAATAATCTCTTCGAGGGAATGATGACTTGAGATTAATAAAATATATAACAAAGAGGAGGGTATGACACCCCACAACACAGCATTCCTATAAAAAAACCTACTTCATTGGCTTCAACAAAAAAAAAATAATGCGTTCCAGACTTCAGAATAGATGGGAAAAAAGTGAAGCACAAGTGATGGGGGCAGAATTTTCTGAAATTAACAAGATGAAACAAACTTCCTACATTCAGGCCATAATTATATTACAAAATTAGGAAATTAGTTTGTGTAATTCAAAATTTTATAATCTTTTTTTTTTTAGCACTCCAGTGGATTTAAAAGTTTATTGCTTTAACCACATTCATTCTACCTGTTAGAAGTTCTCCATGGTTATTTATGTTTGCAGGTTTACCCTGCAGCCATTGTAGGCAAAGTAGCCACCCGTTCAGGAATCCTGCAGAAAAGGCCCAGTTCTTCATAGGAAATTAGCTACATGTTTGAGGATGGCCAAAAGACATTTGCAGATATCGTTCCAGAGAGCGTTCATTGAGGCTGCACGCAGTCCATGCACGTCCTCGACCAGTATCAGTCCATACTTGTTTCAGCAGCAGATATCGCTCTAATTCATGTCTTGTTAGATGCTCACGTACATAGTGCAAGAACACTGTAACATTGTAAAGAACATTACAATATAAAAACTCTTGCAAATTTGTTAACTCGCATATTGATGTTATTATTTCTTTAGATCTTGTACTTTATAATTTCTAGCCACATTACTTTTTAAGGAACAATAATCTTGCATTTTTAAAACGTAATTCCCTTAGATTGTTTTTCATTCTTATTTTTGTGTTCACATTACTTTATTATAGTTTTTTAGACCTCTTAACCAGATTTGAAAGCACTCTGCAAAACACAATAATAACATTCTTAAAACAAAAAATCTGTTTGGTAATTATTTCTAACATGCATTATAGTTATTATTTATTGTATACAGAGAATTTACTACACAGGTGTTTCTATGTTGTATATTTCTTTTTGCGAGACATGATCGCCTAAAAATTACAAAATGATTTACAACAAGCATTCATGTGTTGCAGAAAGTTGCTATTTTGAATTTTGCAAAAAATTCGTCCCTCAAAAAAA